AAGTCTTTCCAAAATGTGTTAAATCAATTGTTCTGCTTTGGTAACTGTAACATGGTAGTGAGAATCAAATGGGGGGGTTGTTTTTGTTTGTTTGTTTGTTTGTTTGTTTTTTAAATGGCTACACCACCTCAAGGCCATCACTACAAATGTTGGTCCTGATCTGATTATGTAGGTGGTGTCAGAAACAGCTCCAAATATCAAGAGAAGTTCCGGGAGGGTTCTATGGAAGTTCAGCTTTGGAAATAAAGAGGAAAATGAGCATTTACTGAGCAGATACTGTCTGGAAAACTCTGGGCTGGATAGCCAGCATGCATCCCATCACCTTTTCCACACTGTGGGACATCATGTCCTTTTACAACAAATGACACTGAGTTTTTGGAAGTTAAGACTGCCTAGAATTCTGGATCCGAACCCAGGTCCATACAGATATGCCTATATGCCCTCTATTCCTCGTAGCTTGGTTCTCCTTTCCAATGTCGAACTAGTAAATCCATTCTTACATACTGTAAGTCTTGGGCAATCCTTTCTTTGTAGAGCCAAAGTCACATACCTGAGTGCTTATCCAAGGGAAATAAAATGAGTACACTGAAAAGATCTCTGCACCCCTATGTTTAAGTAGACCAGGAGCCAAGAAACTGAATTGACCTAAGTGATATAGAGGAAAATGTAACATCATGAAAATGTTTAGCATTTTTAAAAATGGGATAAGGGACAATATTCATGGCAATGTGGATGAACTTGGAGGATTGAAAGCATGCAAAATAACAAAAACATAAAGACAAATCTTACATGACCTTAATTGTATGCAAAATGCAACGTTCACTCTCAGAAGCCTAGAGAGTAAATAGAAATTATAAGATGCTGGGGAAGGCAGGCAGGAAGAAGGTTAGGGAGGAACAGGCCAAGGAGTAGAAGTTGCAGTGAGATAGAAAGAATAAATTCTGGCTGGAATTAATAATGATGTGCTATTTATTTAAAAATATACCACCAGAGAATCTTTTGAATATTCTCATCTCAAAAACAAAAAAAGAAATATTTTTTGAGACAGGTAGAATAGCTGTTCTGATGTGGTCATCATTCATTTTATATGCATCGAAACATCACAGCATGCCCCAGAAATCTGTATAATTATTGTACGTCAATCACAAAACAACCTAAAAAAGCTACATAAATGAAAATTCTCTTTAAGGTGAGTAGTTTTATATGTTTTTCTTTATAGGCATGGAGATAATCTGAGTTAAACTGTGATAAATCTATTTCCCGTGTTGCCTTATCTATATTTTAAATTTCTTTGCTTTTTTTTCCTCTACTTTTTCCACTCCATTATAAATTTTCTGTATTTGGTTTTGAAATTCTGATGATATCTAATCCAGTGCCTTTCATAACAATCCTCAACAAATATTTATTGAAATGAGAAAATGTATATGGCTGCATGCTATATTTAGTGCGTATATAAAATACATTATACTCATTTGGTTTTATTTGCTTGATATCAATTATTAAATAGGGTGCAATTTAATTTGAGGTACAGAGTAAGGCTTCTTGACTAGGAAGATGTCTCTAAAAGCACAATACAAAAATTAAAATTAATATGAAACAGTGGTGTGAGCCTAGTAGCCCACAGGAAAATGATCTCTCTTCCTTTATCACCTTTATCACCAATTAGATGTATGACCTTGAGCCAAGCATGGGACATCTCTGGCCTCAGTTTTCTAACAGCAAAATGGAGATGGGACCCTTCCAATTGTGTTCCTTGTAGCTCAGTCTTTTATATCTATATTTGTGGATGCTCAGGGTACATAAGCCTTGCTTATAGGCTCATTCTTAATAACAGAGGCAGAAACAAACTAAATGACTACCTTATCCTCTTGTGGCATTCAAGAAATTCAAGGTGACTGGTATAATTAACTCTCTCTATGGGCCTTGTGAACCCCAATGAAATCCTGGCAGAAAAAGCAGTTGTTTTAATTTGCAAATATCTGTCCTGCCTAGTTCAATCTGGCCTTCCTCCCAACAAGAACGGGGCAGCTGCTGCCTTTGCAGAGGCAGGCCACTCAGTCACCGTTGGCTGCGCAGTATAATGTACACAAAGAGGAAAGGACTCGGAAAGCAAATCCCCTTCAGATTGCACTGGACGGTCCACAGTCTAAGCACGCAAGGCATTGGAAAGCAGATGGAGGCACAGCAGGTAGACACATGATCACCCACACTGACTGAATGGTTGACAAAGAAATGAGATGCAATGAGGGAAAGTGTGGGGAGCATCACACATCTGTCTAAAGACACGGGAACAGAAATTGTCCTTCCTCTACCAGTACCATGTGGGTCCGTGTCCTGATTTACCATTCAGCAGTGTGTCCTGTGTCCATCGCCCAGGAAGACATGTTTATTACCACGCCATAACAGATTTCTCTACATTCTGCCTCTGCTCAAACTCTGGTTCTCCCATCTCAACCAGTAGTTCAACACAAGGTAAAACCTGGCTTCTAAGGGGAATCCAACATCCCAGGTTTGCAGCAAGTTTGAGGTTATTGGGGATGGGGTGCAGCTTTGGACTATTATTTACTTTTGCTGAAATACATACCCTCTCTCTCTTCCCTTTTGTCTGTGTTAATCCATAGTGCAGAGAAATAATGCTAGGAACATGGTATGCAGCCTTGTGGTCTCCATAATGGGCATGTTGTTTTATTTTCCCAAACATAGCCACTAGTTGAATGGAAGTTGACAGGAAATCCAGGCCCTGGAAGTTCTCTGCCCAGCACTGTCTTTACTCCCTTTACCTTCAGTTAATTTAAACCTTGAACAAGCATTCCCACCATTTCCACTCTGATTCAAGACGTGCTGGATTCTCATCATGGGCCATGCAAAGAGAAAAAGGATGGAACACAATAGGACTTGACTAAAGTGACCCAAGTCGTGAACGTCTCTCCATGTACCTTGTGACACATGCAGAAAACCCTGGAATGGTTTGGACTCTTAGCTACAGAATGCAGAGCAGTTTTCCATTCTGTCTGATGATCTGGGTTTTTGATCGCTTTTCTGTTTTCAAATACATGAAAGCAGACTAGCAACCCATCAATTTCCTTTTGATTTGAAAATAATAGCATGCTATGGTGATTGTTTTACACAAATCCAGCATCAGAAGCTAGGCCTCTACCCTGAGCTTAATTCATTAATTCGATCTTTGCTTCCTGTTTAAGCGAATTGACTTCTCATAATGGGGTTATTCTGGAGAACATGCTGTCAGCAATCTTCTGTTGCTCCACTCCTTTGAAGCTCCTAAGTGAAATTTGATTATGACGACTATGATCACATACCCTCTATTTGTTATTGAGTTTCCTGGGTCTTGGTTCTGCAGTTACTGAGCCCTCTGTTTTGTGAGAAGTTCTGGGAAGGAGCACATAAAGGAAACGGGATTGTGAAACCTAACAGAATTGTGCTGTTTCTAGCTTCACGGTTTGTTATCGCTGTTCCTTGGAGCAAGTAACAAGAGGTTACTTGCTTAACCTCTCTAAGCCTGTTTGCTCCCTGGCAAAATTAGGAAATATACACCTGTCTCTCAGGTGAGAATTACCTGTGACAGCTATAAAGCACCTGTAGCGGTGATTCTCAACCTTCCTAGTGCTGCGACCCTTTAATATAGTGTCTCATGTTGTGGTGACCCCCAGCCATAAAATTATTTTTGTTGCTATTTCATAACTATAATTTTGCTGCTGTTGTGAATCATAACATAAATGTCAGGTTTCTGATGGTCTTAGGCAACTCCTGTGGAGTTGTTTGGCCCCCAAAGGGGTTATCACCCACAGGTTCAGAAACACTGACCTAGCGGAAGTAAAGTCTTTGTGTATGTGCTCATGATTCTACAGACATGGGCCTCCATCTTCATATGAACCACAGACATTTCCCTTTGTGTGTGAGAATATGGAGTTAGATCATGTAATCCAGTCAAGTCAACACTTGGCTGTCCCAGCCAGCTAGAAACTTCAGCACCTACAAGAACATCAGAGAATTCTGGGATCCTTTCTTTCATTTAACAAGCATTAGTTGAATGCCTGTTATAAGCAGGCGCTGTGTATTTCAGTCAAGTGCATACACAAGTCCTTAGTCATAATACCAATTGATCATAATAAATAGAAATTCAAATTGGAAACTACTCTACCAGGCAGCACTAGTCAGGTGGACCAGTAATGAAATGTGAATGCCTGCATCTTAAGGCAGCTCAGATATGTGGCATGTTTGTGTTCAGAACACAATTTCCATTACTGCACACCAAGAGCCAACCCTATCATAGGTGCTCACATAATCTCAATTATTCTTCTTAAAGCTATCTTACATTCACACTGTGGTTCTTGTTCTACAAATGCAAAGGCATAGACTTCAAAAAGTCAAATTTATCCTAAGCTACATATCCTATAGCTGGTAGGACCTTGATTTACACTGTAATCTATTTCACTGCTAGGCAAAGTCCTCTTGGCTAATAAACTATGCTGCTTCCATGTTGATTGGTTCCTGAGTAATTTTCCTTGCCTCCCAAATGGATATAATGTATGTGAAAGTGATGATGTGTTGCAAAACTCTGTCCAGATGTTGGTTATTACTTTAAAGTGGCATTTAGTGCACTGTTAACAGACGTTAATATGAGTGAGATGCACAGACGGCAGAGCCTTCAGAATGGATCCACCTACGTGTCTTTCCATGATAACAAAATGAATTTGAGGCTGAGATTATCAGGATAAACATATAAGGCTCCAAATATTGGTTGAACCACCTGTGTTCCCTGAGTAAAGACAAACCAGCAGACATCAGCCCCTTGAAGTACAGTTAGCTTAGTAGAGAAGACGAATAAATCGCCGTCAATGTTTGGTAAATTCCGAAAGAGAAATGTGTTCAGGGTAGAGAAATAGCTGAAAGTAAAAAATGTTCATCCAAGCTGGGGAAGTGGCAGGGAGGAAGGGTGAATCGTTATAAATTCACCAAACAAAAGAGGTGCAATCCCAACCACCTTTCACTTCAACCCAAGATTTATGACTTGTAACTCAGCAGATTGTTGCTATAACAGCGCACTATCCTGCTGCAGGCAGGAGCTGGGTTCCAGCTGCAAGTACCTCAGACTGTCACTTTCCTGCTATTCTCCCTCTCTTCTTGTCAGTCATCAGGGACCCAGCCAAGCGAGGGAAAGCAGAGGCCGAGGCTCCAGTGGAGCAGCAAAGAGAGCAGAGCCCCCCGGGTTCTGGCGACTCAAACTTGTCTTACAGCTTTCACAGATCACAAAGCCAGTGCCTCGAAGGAGAACTAGATCCCTGCTCCTTGGTTAACCAAGCATGGGATGAACGATGGCTCCTCTCATTGCCAGCAGCTCTGGAGGTCACTGAGGAGTCAGCTACAGGCCGGGGTTCACCCAGCAGAGCTGGGCTGGCAGGAGCTATCGTTAATTCAAGATTTGGACTCATGGTGGACACTTGAGGTGAGAGAGGCATGAACGCCTCAGTACAAGAAATGGAAAAGGCGGGGAACTGAATGTCCCTTACTGGGATTTCAACTGCGCTGTGAGACCTTGGGAAATTCACTTTGCTGAATTTGGAGTTCTTCATTTGCATAGTATGCATATTAGTGCCTCGTATGCTTAAAGGGTGAGTAGCCTTTATCCAAAATGCTTAGGATGAAAAGTGTTTTGCAGGTCAGATGCTTTCAGATTTTGAAATATTCGTGTATCCATAATGAGATACCTGGGGGATGGGCCTGAAGGCTAAATATGAAGGCCATTTATTTTTCATCCTGGAGGCAATTTCAGATAATGCTTTCATGTACCTGCATTTTAACTGCGGTGCACCACACAAGGTCGCATATGAGACTGCTCACTGGTGGCATCATGTCTGTGTTCAAAACGTTGCAGAGTAGGATCCTATGCTCAACCCATATTTGTTATGAGGAATAAGTGTGAAAAATATCTGAGTTTTTGTCTAGGTATTAACCGGTGCTTTTCAATTAACTCATCATTAAATCAGCATACTCAGTGTGCAGGACACTACTGTCCATGGCAGGAGTATAGCAGCATATAAATGAATTGCTGGCTTTCATGCTTCTCTAACAGGGCATTTAGTAAGTAACCGTTTCAAATTTAATCCCTACTTTTGGAGGCATCATCCTGCTAATGAGTACCACAAAAACATGGGAATGAAGGAAATAATGTTTTCTTCATCAAGTGAAGCAGCTTAGGGAAAAAAGGGAGGAAGGGTTACTATTCAGAGAGCAGTTCATTGAGAAACTGTTACATGTCTGCATCCCATACTATATATGTCCCTCGGGATTCATAGCTGCAAGCAAATGAAACTAGCTGTGATTGTCTGGAGCCAAAAGGAAATTTATTAGAAGGATACTGGTTTGAAAGGAGATTTACTGGAAGGATGCTAGTAGAGGCTCAAGGTCCAAAAAGACATTTATTGGTAGCAGGTTGAGATCCTAAAGGAGATTTATTAGAAGGATGTTAGTGAAATACAGGAGAACCAAACTTGGAGCAAGGGATACTAAGCCATTAGTTACTACCAACTACTTGGTCAGAAGACCATCAAAAACTCTGAATTGTCACTGCTGCCAGGTTGAGCTGACTTCCACCAAGCCACCACCTACCGTCAATGCTCCAGGTGCAGTGTCATGCCTGTTGGCTGTCCCAGTGAATATTGGAAACATCTGTACCTCAACCTTCCAGAATAGAAAATGGATTCTGGGAATTCTTTCCTGCTGAGACCATCCACTTGAAAAGACAAAAGTTCCCATTTGGTCAGAAATATTGGATTCCAAGCAATCAGAAAATGGATATATACCTATAATACTGTTTCTTATGGCCACCTGTTTATGCCATAAATGGATAGATGAAGTGAGATATCTTGGCCTTTTCTATTATCAAAAGAATAACCATTGCTGGAAACCCATGTTAAAAAGAAGTTTCCAGGTCAATGGAATGTGCTCCCAGTGTGAGTGGGAAAGTATTTTCTCCAAGAAGAGCCTGAGAGCGGGTCTCTTCTGCAGAAAGACTGCGCTCCTGGGCTTGTCGCCTGCCATTATGCATCTAGGCACCTATGTGATCCATGGTAGTGCTTTATTTTCAGGCATGGTTGTAGTATTGCTTGGCCTATACACACACAAAACCATTTTCATCCTTGCCACATGTCAAAGCCGTAATTCCCAAAGGCGAGGACAAATCAGTGGGACACTCTTTGTAGCATTCCAGGTGACTGTGGGACAAAGGCCTTTTCAAGTTAATTATGCAGGTATTTAGTAAATATCAGTTTTTCCACATCAGTTTGGACGTTGAGAAGAAAAGAATATTTGAAACCACAGTCTGATTGGGAGAAGATACTAAATTAAATGGAATGACTTGTGACATCAAAGCCACTAGATTAATCTAAGGAAGGTCAGTAATAAGAGGACATTTGACCAAGAGCCTTCAGGAAGGCATCCCAGTGAAAATTTCCCCCGTGGCCAAATAGCATCTGTCCAATTTAACCTGTGCAGGAAGCAAGGCAGCTCGCCTATGGAAGAGTTCAATGCATGGCAATTCTACAATCTCTGTATGGACCCCGTCATCGAGAAAGCACCTTCGATAGCAGTCAGCATTTCACAATGCCTGCTAAATGCCAAGGTGTGCTAGATCTGTCTTAGGTAACATCTCTAACAGCCCCTCTGGGGGGTTCCTTTTATTTCCATTGCACAAACAAAGAAACTGAGACTCTGAGAAGCCAGGGAGCACATCCAAGCATGTTATCACCCCTTTGATCAGATACATCCTTTGCCACATGTACTCCCTGTCCTTCCTCCAAACCTTTATGCTCCAAACATCCTATACTACTTATCACATACATATTGTGTTTGTCACCTTTCCATTCCTGTGACCAAAAAAAAAAAAGCCTGAGATGAACAAACCAGAAACAGGAAGTTAATTTTGGTTTGCGGTCTCACAGGTTTCAGCACTGTTCTGCGTTGCTTTGGGGACTATAGCTAGAACATCACAGTAAGAACATAAACCCAGTCCAAATGGACCCATCCATAAAGCATTACCACACCTAAGGCTCAAGCAACATTGTGGAAGAGGGGGCCTGAAAGACTGTAAGAGTCAAAGGATCGGGGAGTTTGCTGTGAGATTTTTGCCTCCTAATACTGTCAGAACCTGCACCCAAAAAGTCTTACCATATAACTGCCTAAACATGAGCTGAGTAAAGACAACACCAATAAACATGACAAAGTGGACACAGAAAAGCCCATGAGGCCTCAACCTTACACAAAGAATTACAGACATCTAAGGAGTGTTGACATGGGGAGAGTCTTCTACAAAGAGCACGCCAATTGTTTTTCAGTAACGGGTATGTACAAGCAGCTTATATGTAGGAATACATATAAGTTTCCTATATATACATACATGTAACTGTAATTAACGAAAAGGGGACCATAGATTTGAAAAAGAACAGGGGTTGTATATAAGGTTGAGTTTGTAGGGAGGAAAGTGAAGGGAGAACTGTTGTAATTATAATCTCAAAAATAAAAGCAGAAAATACTCACCTTATTATTATTGGAGAGGAAACCAGAGTAAGGGGGCAGAGGTACCAATATCCCACTCAAAGTCATGCCACAATGACATAACTTCTCCTATGAAGTCCTGCCTCTTAAACATAATGAATGCTAAGCTGCTGTGGCTCCAGAGTCTGGTGAGCAGAGCTTTAACATCTAGGCTTTTGAAGAGACTTAAAATCCCAATAGTAATATTTTAATGCAAGGGTCAATAAACTACAGTCCACTGGTCAAATTCGACTTGCAGCCCAGATTTGCAAATAGAGTTTTATTAGTGTATTGCCGAGACTATTTACTTCCATATTGTCTGTGGCTGCTATCATGTGGCTGCTACAAGGAAGTTGAAACCACAGCTTCAAATATACCTAAACATTACTTTCATGATCTTCATGAAAATATTGTTAGCACCATCTTTCATGCTTCAAGCCTCTAGCTCCTGTTCATGTTTGTATTTTTGCCAGCTAGCCATTTCTTTCATCAGAGCATGACAGGCTTTGACTTCCGATCTGAAATCTAACAATTCCTTATGTTTAAAGGAATTAGTTACTTCTTTCATGGAATTTTGTGGTTTTATGTATACTTTTATGTTTAAATTTGTCATGTTGAAAATTCAATTGTTCTCTTACATGTCTGTGGCTCAAAGAAAGCCCACTGTTTAAGCACACCATCACTCTCCCTCTCCCTCTCCCTTCCCCTCTCCCTCTTCTTCTCTCCTTTCCCTCTTCCTCCTCTTTCCCCTCCCTCCCTCCCTCTCTCTTCCCTCCTCCCCTTCCCTTGTATGTACACTGGGAATTTAACCTAAACCCTCACACATGCTAAGCAAGTGCCCTATCACTGAGATACATCTGCACACTGTACTTAAATCTTCTCTAACTCACCCCACCACTGGATTTAATGAACATCTTGAGTTCTCACCTCATTTCATTGATATTAATTGAAATCCTTACCACCCTCCCAGCATCCTGCCACAAGGTACCCATGTAATCAGAGGATCCTGGAAGCAGTGTACTATGCCATAAAGGGCCACTGGGAGGAGAAAGCAGGAATTCAGGAAGCTAGTCCCAGAATTTAAAGTCTCTCATCTTGTCACCTGATTAGGCTTGTATAGGACCATCATCCCTCAGTCTGCATACCTTCATCTGTCCCGTGAGAAGATTCACCTAGATTCTCTTAATCAATCTTCTTGTCTAAAACTCCCATTATATTTCTGACTGAACTTCATCAGTTAGAAATATAAGTAGCCAAGTCAGTGACTGAGCCAACAATACAACCTCATTATCAAGAGGAATTTTTGCCATAAATAATCCTGACACCATTCCAAAAGTCCAGGATGGATATCCATGAGAACAACACCCTGAAAACTAATTCAAAGTTTCTCTCTCTTTTATTAAAATGCATGTCCATTGACAAATCAGGATAATTCCTTATTTTCTTGTTTATTGGATTATATTCTACTCACCTGGCATTCACAAAGAGACATAAAGCCACTGGCCTCCTCTCATGGCAAAGTCAATAGTAAATGTCCCTCTGGAATTATACCATCTTCCATTCCCATGGGTGACACTTTACCCGGAGCGCATTCCCCAAACCTATTCCAGAACTTGAATCATGTAAGTCACTCTCGTATGTACAGATTTCCAAGTTCTTTACCTAAACCCACTAAGCCTGAACCCCCCCCCCAGAGGAGCACCAAGGGATCTACATGCTTCGTATGTATGGCGAGCATCTCAGTGGGAGCTTGAGAACCCAAATTAGGAGTCTGGTTCCATATGTACAGTCCTGATGGCTCCTATACCTCAGAGGTTCAACATCACTGTTTGGTTGAGATGGCAACCCATCTGTCATCTAAATAAAAAGTGATTCTGAGAAGGCATTCGCTAGTGAGAAGCATCTACTTAGCCCTCAGCAACACCTTCAGGTTGCACTCACGTGCACACCTGCATAACCCCTCCTCGATTTTCCAGCCGAACCCTCTGTGAATAATTGCAGTTTTGCTAATTGAATCTGAGAGCACCTGTTTCTTAATCAATATTAATGTATTGCATGGACACAGAATTTGTAATGAATC